CACATCAGCAGCAGCAGCAGCGGCCACCTCCTCCCCCGCCTGCCAGCGTTGTCTGTGAGCAGCAGCAGCAAACGCTGCCCGGAGGCAGCTTCAGAGACAGGCTGCTGAAAGGAGCTGCTGCTAAAAAACCGAGCAGCCCTGCGCAGCAGAAGCAGCAGCAGCAGCAACAGCAGCAGCAACAGCAACAGCAGAAGCCGAAGGAAGCAGCACGATCCAGGTCTCCACAGCCGCAGCAGCAGCAGCAGCAGCAGGCGGCTGCGGCGGATAAGGAGCCTTCTATAAATGGCTGTGTGCAAGCTCAGCAGCAGCAGCAGCCACAGCAGCCACAGCAGCAGCAGCAGCAGCAACCGCAGCAGCAGCTGCAGGCGCCCGCTGCATCAAAGCGGGGGCCTTCGCCCGCATCGCCTCGCCGTGCAGCGCCTGCAGTGGCAGCAGCAGCAGCAAAGCCAGCAGCAGAGGCACCGAAGCAGGGCACCTGGAGCGATCGGGTGCGAGCTGCTGCTCCTCAGCAGCAGCAGCAGCAGCAGCAGCAGCTGGCACCGACGGCAGGACAAGCTGCTGCTGCAAAGAGAGCCAAGAGCCCAGCAGCAGCAACACCGAAGCAGCAGCAGCAGCAGGGCCTGCAGCAGCAGGACTCCAAGCAGGCAAAAATCTACTCTCCAGCTGCTCCCGCAGCAGCAGCCACAACAGCTGCTGCAGCAACAGCAGCAGCAAAGGCAGAACAAACAGCAGCAAGTGCTGCTCCTGCTGACAAGTGCCCGAAGGCACAGGACACTCCACCCTCAGCAAAACCAGCAGCACCTGCTGCTGCAGCAGCAGCACCAGCTGCAACCGCAGCAGCTGCAGCTGCAACCACAGCAGCACCAGGCGCAAGCGCAGCAGCACCTGCTGCAACAGCAACAGCACCAGCTGCAACGGCACCAGCTGCAGCAGCACCAGCTGCGGAAGCATCAGCTGCAGCAGCAGCAGCTGCCCCAGCAGCAGCAGTAGCAGCGCCTGCTACAGCAGCAGCACCTGCTGCTGCAGCAGCAGCACCTGCAACAGCAGCGCCTGCGGAGTCACTGGCTTCTTCCCCAGCCCCCGCAGCAGCAGCAGCAGCAACGGAGAGCTCGGCGAGCACATCCTCGCCAGACTCCAGCGGAGCAGCAGCAAACGAAAGCCCAGACGCAGCAGCAGCAGCAGCAGCAGCAGCAGGTGGCAGCCTGTCTTGGGCAATGCGGGCGCGGCTAGCGAAGGACAGGCCCGACCCCGTGAAGCTGCAGCCGTCGCCGCCGCAGCAGCAGCAGGCAGCAGCAGCAAATGGAGGGGAGCAGCAGCAGCAGCCGCCGCAGCAGCAGCAGCACGGAGGCGCGCAGCGCGGCAGCAGGGGCAGGGGAGGTGCAGCAAGGGGAGGCAGCAGCAGCCACCAAGACCAGCACTGGGGCAGCAGCAGCAGCGCCAGGGGCCCCCACAACAGGGGCAGGGGGGGCCCCCATGGGGCCCACGGGCAGCGCAGGGGCGGGCTGCGGCAGCAGCAGCAGCAGCAGCAACAGGAGGAGTGGCCGGGGGAGGCGGCGCGGTCAGAGCAGCAGCAGCTGCCGGAGCAGCCGGAGCGGCAGCAGCAGCAGCAGCAGCAGCAGCCAGAGCCGCAGCAGCAGCAGCAGCAGCAGCAAGTTCCCAAACCCGCAGGAGTTTGGGCTGCAGGCGCTGCGCCTCTTGGCCGCTGGGTGGTGCCTCCCCCCCGCCCTGCAGCAGCAGACCAGCAGCAGCAGCAGCAGCGACAGCCAGGAGCTTCAGGAGCTGCTGCTGCTGCTGCTGAGGCTGCAGGCGCAGCAGCCTCCACGGCTGCATCCGGCACGGAAGAGGCAGAGAAGGCTCCCCGCGCTCCAGCAGCAGCACCTGCTGCTGCTGCACAGCAGCAGCAGCAGCAAGAGCCGTGCGCTGCGCCTGTGTGGCCAAAGTCAAGGCCAACCGTGAAGCGGCCGCAGCAGCAGCAGCAGCAGCAGCAACCCGCAGAGACGCAGCTGCTGCCGGGGCAGTGGCAGCGCTTTGCCCTCCCGAGAGGGAAGAGAGACGCAATGAAGGCGGAGGAAAAGAAGAGGCCTCCGCAGCAGCAGCAGCAACCGCAGCAGCAGCAGCAGCAGCAGCAGAAGCCGCGGTCGCCTGAGTGGGCGCGCCCCACACCGCTCCCTATGGCCAGCAGCACTATCCCTGTGGCTGTCTTTACTCCAGAGGACAAACCAACAGCAGCAGCAGCAACAGCAGCGGCAGCTGCTGCTGCTGTCCTCCCGGGGATGCTGAGAGATAGCTTGGCTATGCCGAAGACATCCCAAAAGCCGCCGTTGCAGCAGCAGCCACAGCAGCAGCAGCAGCAGCAGCAAAGGCCCGCCGCGCCGCGCACTTCATCTCCGAGACCCGCTGAAGGCCGCGGGTCGGCAGCAGCACCTGCTGCAGCAGCGCCTGCAGCAGCACCTGCTGCGGCAGCGCCTGCTGCAGC